CCTGCCGGTGCCCGGTCTGTATTTTGCTTTGTACTTCCTGTGCCCGGGCTCTAATCTGCTGTGTACTTCCTGTGCCCGGGCTCTAGTCTGCTGTGCACTTCCTGTGCCTGGGCTCTAGTCTGCTGTGCACTTCCTGTGCCTGGGCTCTAGTCTGCTGTGCACTTCCTGTGCCTTGTGGGGGCTCGGCTTCCACAGGATAAGTCCTCTTTAACCACAATGATCTCTGCAAAGGCAAAGCTTAAATATTTTCTGTTTTCTCCTCATCAGGTTGCCGACGCCGCCAAAAACACCGAGATCTGCGACCGTCTGATGTGCTACCACGACATCTACGTGCAGGCCATCAACTACCCCACCGTCCCCCGCGGAGAGGAACTGCTGAGAATCGCTCCCACCCCCCACCATACCCCGCAGATGATGAACTACTTCCTGGGTACGTCACACTGACCTGTGTGTATATCTGACCTCTGACCTCCGTCCTCCCCTTCAGTCTTCTATCTGACCTCCGTCCTCCCCTTCAGTCTTCTATCTGACCTCCGTCCTCCCCTTCAGTCTTCTATCTGACCTCCGTCCTTCCCTTCTGTCTTCTATCTGACCTCCGTCCTTCCCTTCAGTCTTCTATCTGACCTCCGTCCTTCCCTTCAGTCTTCTATCTGACCTCCGTCCTTCCCTTCCCGCAGAGAAACTTCTGGTCTCCTGGAAGGAGGCGGAGCTGGAACTGAAGCCCCATTCCACCGCCGAGTGCAACTTCTGCCGCCAGCCGCTGCACTTCGAGGTGATGAGCGAGCGCGAGAAGTCGTACTTCTCCGGCATGAGCAAGATGGTGTCCGCCAGATCCTGACCACGCCCCCTGCGCCCCGCGGGGCGTCAGATTCTATAGTCATGAATTTTTATGTCGCGCGGCAGATGCATTACGATTCCTGGCTGCCCACACTGTGAATATCGTGTTTGCCAATGTCAGTCTGTCAGTAAAGTTGATCTATTATACGCGTTGGCTTTCTTTGTGTTTTTTTTTCTTTTAATAAAGAAGGATGTTCAGAACTAATAAGGTGGAAGGGGGTGGGGATTGAGGGGGGCGGAGTCACTGCTTTGACTCATTTACATGTCTAACAGCTTGAGCTGCTGAGCTCTCTGAACAGGCGGATGAGTGAAGAGGAGCTGACAGCGCCACCTGCTGACCCCATATGGAGATGACAGAATACGCATGTGTATTAAAAATAAATTGTGTGTCTCTGTGTGTAATTGTTTATTATCTTGGCCATTATGGAGAGAGGAAACCAATATTCACAACCACTACAGTGTTCCCGTTAAGAGGAAGTATGAATACAAAAAAAAACTCTAGAAAAATAAGTTAAACTCCAGAAAAATGGCTAAATACACAGATAATGTGCGTGTATCATTCTTGTCCCTCCCCCGGCCTGTGATTGGACATTGAAAGGAGATGTGGCCAGTGATCTGTCACTCTGCTCTCTCCTCCTATCCTAATGTGAGTATTGCAGCACATCTGATTGGCTGCCTCTCCCAGTCTGAGCTCCTCTGTACAGGGACGGCGAGAGGCGAATACCAAGTCACATTCAGGTATATATGCTGCTCATAATGTATACAGAGTTGCATTAATTTGTGTATATGTGTATATATAATATGTGCGTATACATCCTAGGGATGCACCGATCCGATACCGAGTACAGGTACCGATACTTTGCCTCAAGTACTCGCCGATACCAATTACCGATACATTTTAAATTATAAGTGTCAGGTGACAGTTTTCCTAAAACAATACAGACTGCTGATTTTAGGACAGTGGGGGAGCAACGGGGCCCGGTCACCGCTGCAACCCTTGTAGTTCTGTCACGGACTACAAGCTGTAAAGGGACTACAAATCCCAGCAATACATTACACAGCAATGCAGAATAATACCACCAGCTATGGAGGACTACAAATCCCAGCAATACATTATAGAGCAATGCAGAAGACCCAGCAGACTCCACCCACTACTGGAGGGGGCGGAGACGAGACCGATCACCCTGCACAAGGAGAGAGAACAGCAGTGAGCGGTCTTTATTACAGGAGGGAGCGGAGATGAGAGGGAACAGCAGTAACCAGTCTTTTTTTTACAGGAGCTCTCTAGGCTGAGTTATGCCGAGTGGGTGTACGGAGCATTCAATGTTGGAGGGGTTTTTTGTTTGGATACACTTTTTTCAGTCAGCCTAGTGGTCCGTTATTTCACGTGGAATGCACGGTGTCAGGTCTCCATTCAGCATAAAATCCTTCCTGTCCAGGTGGTGGTGAGTGACATTCTGCATGTGGTGGGGAAGATTCGGGTGCTTGAGAGAGACAAGTGGAGGCAGGGGGCTTGGATGAAGGCGTGGAGTGGTATCAGGCCTCCCTGACTTGCAGGAGTCTCTCTCCAGGTGTGTGGCTGTCTGTCTCTTATCACCCTAGATTTTGTTCTTTAAGATTTTTGAAAAATGGCTGCGTGCATAGGTGACGGGTTGGGCCTCTTAGGCCTTCTCTGCTGCTTCATGTAAATAGTTGGTGAATCTTTAGGCGTGAGGCTGTTTATGCAGCAATGAGGCTTTGCCCATCTGTATATAGCTTTGTGGTGTACTGAATATTTTTTGTGTTTTGATTTCTGTTCATTTAATTTTATGGTTATGTTTTGTTACTTTTTTTATATAAACGTTGCTTGAGTCTTTTAATACAAAGATTAGCAGCAGTGAGCGGTCTTTATTACAGGAAGCTCCAAGTCTCACACAGGCGTACAGATCTGGAGGAAATACACAAATGTAAACAAACGCAGTGCCACTTGGTTGCTAAGCGACACGGGCAGCAGTAGGCCTCAGTGGACAGGAGGAGCAGAGTGATTGGAAGCATAGTAATATAGTTATATTTAGGTAAAATGCTTTTTCTGCTTTCCATGAATCACACGTAAAGCAGAAAACGACAAACATGTCAAAATTTTCCTTATCGACCATTGGAGCAACAATCGAACAAGATGAACCATCATCTGCAATGGCTCAGCTCATAGTTCTGGGCCCCAGATGGCTTCTTCATCTCTGCCCATATCAAAGATGGCGTCTTGTGTTGCAAGGTTTTGCCCTTTTCCAAGATGGCGTCTGCCCTGTGCGTCAATCACATCTGCCCATTTCAAACATGGCCTGTGCTCGAAGCCGAGGGGAGCGTCGCCCATTTCCAAGATGGCCGCAGCATACTGTCTGACGTCAGTTCTGCCAGTAATTGATATGACGTCGCGCTTTGTGATAGGCTGCCGTGCCTGTCTCCAAGATGGCTGCTGGGGCCTCAGGAAGAAGACGGCGGCGGGGTGTACAACAGGGGGCGCTGTGTGGTGACAGGCAGAAGGGAGGAGGAAGATGGCCAGCCAAGAGGACCCGGTCCAGAGAGAGATTCACCAGGACTGGGCCAACCGCGAGTACATCGAGGTCATTACCAGCAGCATCAAGAAGATCGCCGATTTCCTCAACTCCTTCGGTGAGCACCGGCCGATGGTGTCGTCTGCGGGTGTGAATGTGGGTGGAGAGCCGGAACTACCACCCTGATAATGATTGGGTATAGCTGGGCATCTGCGGGTGTCCCGGAGTAGAGTGGCCATATGCGGGTGTTTCGGGGACATTTGTGTAGCATTCAGGTGTTCTGAGGGTGTGCCAGGGCCACAGAGGGTATGTGGGGTGTCCCAAGGGTGTGCCAGGGCCACAGAGGGTTTGTGGGGTGTCCCAAGAGTGTGCCAGGGCCACAGAGGGTTTGTGGGGTGTGCCAGGGCCATAGAGGGTATGTGGGGTGTCCCAAGGGTGTGCCAGGGCCATAGAGGGTATGTGGGGTGTCCTGAGGGTGTGCCAGGGCCACAGGGTTTGTGGGGTGTGCCAGGGCCACAGAGGGTATGTGGGGTGTCCCAAAGGTTTTGCCAGGGCCACAGAGGGCGTGTGGGGTGCCCGGAGAGTATATGGGGTGTGCCAGGGCCATAGAGGGTATATGGGGTGTGCCAGGGCCACAGAGGGTATGTGGGGTGTCCTTAGGTTGTGCCAGGGCCACAGAGGGTTTGTTGGGTGCCCTGAGGGCGTGTGGGGTGCCCTGAGAGTATATGGGGTGTGCCAGGGCCACAGAGGGGGTGTGTGGGGTGCTCTGAGGGTGTGCAAGGGCCACAGAGGGCGTGTAGGGTGCCCTGAGGGTGTGCAAGGGCCACAGAGGGTGCGTGGGGTGCCCTGAGAGTATATGGGGTGTGCCAGGATCAGAGAGGGTATATGCATGATCCTTGAGGTGCAGAGGGGTGTGTGTGGCATACATGCGTATACTGGGGACAGAGGGCATGTATACAGGTGTGGTAGGGGCCTATGTAGGTGTCCTGGAGGCTCAGTGTGTATATGGGTGTTGGGGGCATTTGGGGATGTCCTGGAACCAGTGAGGGAGTATGCAGTGATCCTGCGGATATAGAGGACATGTTCAAGTGTCCCTGAGGGCAAAAGAAGGCATCATAGAAAGGGGGCACACAGGATTGGGTGGGGTGTACATGGGCACTATAGGAAGGGGGCACACAGGATTGGGTGGGGTGTACATGGGCACACAGGATTGGGTGGGGTGTACATGGGCACTATAGGAAGGGGGCACACAGGATTGGGTGGGGTGTACATGGGCACTATAGGAAGGGGCACACAGGATTGGCTGGGGTGTTCTCTTCGGGGGGCGGGGGTGGGGGGCACATAGAGGTCTGTTGGGTATCTGGTTGTTCACAGATCTGACGTGTGTTCTCTCCCTATAAGACATGTCCTGCCGCTCCCGACTGGCGACGCTAAACGAGAAGCTGACGGCGCTGGAGAGACGGATCGAATACATCGAAGCTCGGGTAGGTGCAGCCTACTGTACCCATATCCATCCATTGCCCCGGCTAAAGAGGACCTGTCAGGAGAGAAGCTGGAGAGCAGCCATGGCCTGGCTTGTTCCTAAAGAGTCATCCTGATCCGCACTTCTCCACCCGACGACCAGCTAACTAAGCACCCGGCGATGTGTCCGCTCACCTGACGTCTGTGTCCTTGTTCTGAAGGATGGAGATGACAGACTGGGCTCCTATACTTCTCTCCTGACAGTCTCTCCCTGTGTTACACCCATTACTGCCCAATGTATTCTCATTTATATCTAGTCATGGCAGCTGCTTTAGGCATCCATCTTGCATGTTGAAGACTCCGCCCCTCAATGTTTGTTCTCGTATTACTCTAGAACATGAATGATCCGTGTGAAATGCTGATAGATGTATGAACTGGTGTTATAGGAGGATGATTAGCTCCGTACACGCTGCGTGCACACGTCGCCAAGACCGCAGGGAGCCGCTTCAGAGACCCCAACTCAAAAAGTGAAGATTTCTGTCCTATAGGAAGCTAGTTGTGTGTAAACCCCCAAAAATCAGCTTTTTGTCTTGAATTCCTCGTGATAAATGTCTTCCTGTGCCTAGAACGTCTGATCTCAGGAGCGGCTAGGCACGGGAAGTGCGCTGATGTCGGTGTACTTCTGTCTCTGGGCACTTCTATAGTCTATTCTTTTTTTTTTTTGTACATTGTGAGACTTGCCAGGAATGGTGGCGGTGCAGTGCGAGGCTTGCTGGGAGTGGTGGCAGTGCGGGGAGAAGCTTGCTGGGAGCGGTGGCAGTGCGGTGTGAGGCTTGCTGGGAGTGGTGGCAGTGCGGGGAGAAGCTTGCTGGGAGCGGTGGCAGTGCGGTGTGAGGCTTGCTGGGAGTGGTGGCAGTGCGGGGAGAAGCTTGCTGGGAGCGGTGGCAGTGCGGTGTGAGGCTTGCTGGGAGTGGTGGCAGTGCGGGGAGAAGCTTGCTGGGAGCGGTGGCAGTGCGGTGTGAGGCTTGCTGGGAGTGGTGGCAGTGCGGGGAGAAGCTTGCTGGGAGCGGTGGCAGTGCGGTGTGAGGCTTGCTGGGAGTGGTGGCAGTGCGGGGAGAAGCTTGCTGGGAGCGGTGGCAGTGCGGTGTGAGGCTTGCTGGGAGTGGTGGCAGTGCGGGGAGAAGCTTGCTGGGAGCGGTGGCAGTGCGGTGTGAGGCTTGCTGGGAGTGGTGGCAGTGCGGGGAGAAGCTTGCTGGGAGCGGTGGCAGTGCGGTGTGAGGCTTGCTGGGAGTGGTGGCAGTGCGGGGAGAAGCTTGCTGGGAGCGGTGGCAGTGCGGTGTGAGGCTTGCTGGGAGTGGTGGCAGTGCGGGGAGAAGCTTGCTGGGAGCGGTGGCAGTGCGGTGTGAGGCTTGCTGGGAGTGGTGGCAGTGCGGGGAGAAGCTTGCTGGGAGCGGTGGCAGTGCGGTGTGAGGCTTGCTGGGAGTGGTGGCAGTGCGGGGAGAAGCTTGCTGGGAGCGGTGGCAGTGCGGTGTGAGGCTTGCTGGGAGTGGTGGCAGTGCGGGGAGAAGCTTGCTGGGAGCGGTGGCAGTGCGGTGTGAGGCTTGCTGGGAGTGGTGGCAGTGCGGGGAGAAGCTTGCTGGGAGCGGTGGCAGTGCGGTGTGAGGCTTGCTGGGAGTGGTGGCAGTGCGGGGAGAAGCTTGCTGGGAGCGGTGGCAGTGCGGTGTGAGGCTTGCTGGGAGTGGTGGCAGTGCGGGGAGAAGCTTGCTGGGAGCGGTGGCAGTGCGGTGTGAGGCTTGCTGGGAGTGGTGGCAGTGCGGGGAGAAGCTTGCTGGGAGCGGTGGCAGTGCGGTGTGAGGCTTGCTGGGAGCGGTGGCAGTGCGGTGTGAGGCTCGAGCAGTCTTCCGGCAGCAGATATTCCTGGTAAAGTGGCTCCCTGACTAAAGCATGGAATGCAGGTGCCTGCGGTCTTGGTGCAGTGAAAGGATAACGCACAGGCAATGTGTACGCAGAGCTAAAATCATCACATAAAGGTTCCTCGATATGTCGAGCCTGATAGAACCTTTCAGCTGCCCAGCTGGTGGATTGTAGTCACTATGCATTTAAAGGGGACCTCTCAGCACCTCGCTCAGCGCCATGGCTACCCTACGACTACCAGTGCTCTGGCGGCATGCTCCAATGGCGGATGGGAGTCATAGGCAAAGTCGCAGTGTGACAGGTTTCCTTTATATGTTTTTTCCATGTAGCAAATTGATGTCTTTATACCTTCCACCATCTTCCCTCTTCCTCCAATGTGCCAAAAAATGTCTTTGTCTAAAATCTGAGCATCCATTTAAAGCTGAACTCCGGAATCACCAAAACTAATCTCGTTCCTCTTCTCTCGTGTACCATTCATCCCCATAACAATTGATATAAAAACTCCTCCTAAGCAATGATGACGTCTCAAAAATCTTCCTCAATCTGGACTCTTGCAGCATTGAACTACATCTCCCATAATGCATTGGGAGTTCTGCAATTGGGCAGTTCTGTGGGTCTGACAGGGGAGTTCTCTGTTCCCCTGTCACTACTCCTGTCTGTTGATTGCGCAATCTAAAACTGTAGGAGTGGTCACATGGAGGGACCGACCCCCCCATTAGACAAGGATTGTGGAGCTGCAAGCCGCGTAGAGAGCTGGAAGGGGCGAAGAGGAAATGAGTTCCCAACTGCGATTCGTACAAAAAGTCTTACAGGAATGCTAGTCGAACCCTGCTAAGCCCAGGCATCGGCCAACGATTACCACCCCACGCGTCCGGAGTTCAGCTTTCCATACTGTACCGTTGACACGACCTCTCATGGCTTATGGCTGTGCACGGGCCGGGGATCTGCTGTTGGTCTATAATTTGTTCAGCTGCACTTAGAATCTCACGTTTTATTTTTTCTTTATGTTTTTACTTTTACGCTTCCCCTTCCGGAATGGTGACGGTTTTAGAATAATTGTTGTGCTGCATGAAACCATCACACCGAGCTGCATGGCGCCGCTGTCGTCTTTTATTTTTTTCACCCCCAAAAAAAATCTCCCGTGTGCTTCAAGTTCTTAACCTGCAAAATTGTTTTAATGTTTTTGTAAAATCCAATTTTTTTAAAGTTTTTTTTTTTTTTTGGCTGCTGAAGTGTCTGTGTAGGGCGGGTGCAATGTAGGGCGGGTGCAATGTATCTGTAGGGCGGGTGCAATGCATCTGTAGGGCGGGTGCAATGCATCTGTAGGGCGGGTGCAATGCATCTGTAGGGCGGGTGCAATGCATCTGTAGGGCGGGTGCAATGTTTCATATGAGGGCACGGAGCATTGTTCATTTTGGATTCTGGGAGGAAAGGTCTACTTTGTTCTTTTGGGTGGAATACGAGAGTCTGTGCAGATCGGAATGCTTGAAGATCCCACCTCCCCCCCCTTGTCTGTCTTGGTATTTCCCAGGCTGGCATATAGTTTGGGCGCAGTTACTTTTCAAATAGGAGTGTCGGTGTGGAGGAGGAGCACTTTCCCAGCTGGGGTTCCCTGAGCAATGAACAGATTTTGACTGTGATAGGTAACCACTGACCCCAGCGGGTGGAGGAGTGGGATGTGGGGGGAAGGCAGCAGGGATTCTTCTCACTGGCCACCAATGTAAGGAACATTCTTCCTAATGGCCACCCAATGTAAGGGGCGTTCTTCCCGATGGCCACCCAATGTAAGGGGCGTTCTTCCCGATGGCCACCCAATGTAAGGGGCGTTCTTCCCGATGGCCTCCCGATGGCCACCCAATGTAAGGGGCGTTCTTTCTAATGGCCCCCAGGACACAAATCCCAGCCATAGCCATGAATAGGAATGAACCCTGCCCCCCATCTGCCAGCAAGCAACACCCCAATTTTACCCCTACGTTATCCCTAACCATTCACCTCCAATAGCTGCAACCCCGACACCAATATGACATCTGTGCTGAAAACTTGAAGTGCCAAAATACATTTGATGTAATGACTTGAATTTGGGTCCTGAAATGCAAGAGGCAGGAAGTGAGAAAC